GGGGGGCCTTGCCCTTACACGACCCCCCGGGAGGGGGCTCGCAGAGGCCCGGAGGGGTTAGGACTCGTGCACGCTCCCTGCTCACAAGCGTGCGGGCTGTCGCACGGAGCAGAGTGCACGCACACCAGCCAGCAAGGCCCATAGACCCAGAGCCCCTTCCGCGTAGGCTAAGCCCTTTGGGATCAGGCCCGTCCGTCCATCGCTCGCGGTACGTCCAGAGCCTGGCACCCAGGGGCCAGCGCTCCGCTAGGGCCTCTCCCTCCGTCGAGCTTTCATTCGCCTACTGCAGCCCGTCTCCTGCCCACCCCCTGCCAAGATGCTGCTCACTCCCCCTATTCCAAACCCAGCAAGGCCCTCTCCAGCCAGTCAGACTTGGAGGTGTCCCTGGCCACGCCCTGGGGGAAACCCAGCAGCCCCCGCAGAGGAGGGAAGAGCACAAGGGAGGGACGCTGGAGCCATGTCGCCTCCCGCCCCTTTCCCGGGAGCGCGGGCAATAGGAGCTGTGCTGAGGCTTTGGAGCGCCCCGGTGCTGCCCTCTTCCTGCTTTGGGGGACGCCTCGCCCCAGCTGGGCCAAAGCAGCCCCCCCATCGCGTGTCACATGGCTCCTGCACAGCTGCATCCCTCCCCCCAGGCACCATAGAGAGCTGGCAGGGAGACAGGCTCAGAGGGCCGGGGCTCTCCGACGAGGAACTGCCGCAGCCCTGTGAAACCGCTGGTGCCTCGTGACTCCGGAGAGCCTGGCTGGTAACTGATCACCCCCCGGAGCACAGAGCCACAGATTTCCCCCTTCCAGGGGCCATTCCGCAGGGAACCCCCGGGCACCATCGGGGCACCGTTATTCCTTGGCCTGGAGCGGGGTCAGCTCACAGGTGGTTCTGATTTCGCCCCGCCCCGGAGCCCACGTGACCCGCCCCTGGCCGAGCCCATTCCTCGAGTCGACCTCACGCCCGTCAAAGCGCGTCGCTCGCTCCCGCCAGGCAGGCACCCGCGCTTTGCACGACGGCGGCGGCTTCCAACGCGCTGAGCGAGCGCAGCCCAACCCGCGCGGGCGTCTCTCAGGAGCAGGCGGCCCGTTCCCGGAGCGCTTGCCACAGCCACGCCGGGCGCTCTCAGCAGCCAGAGCTGGGAGGACAGGTTCTTCTGCAAGGCAAGTTCCCAGAGCCGAGCCCTCCCGGCAGCCTTGCGTAACAGAGGAGTTTCACAGCTATTTTGAGCCCTTCTTCCCATCACTCCGCACCAGCAAGGGCAGGGCCTAGACCAAGCCTGTTAAAGGGCCCGGCATGCAGTGCCAGTGGCGATGGGCACTTGGCTGGTGCGGAAAGCATCCGCCCTGGCCTCCGACGTGCGACCGCCCCAGCAGAGGGGGGCACGGCCCGGGCAGAGGGCGGGGAGCGAGCTCACTGGGCGCTGGAGCTATTTTAATTCTGCCCCTTTCCGCAGATCCCCTCCGCCCAGCCGGGCCCAGAGGCCAACGGGAGCCGCAGCACAGGAAGGAGCCAGGCCTGCAGTCACAGCCTGGCAAAGGGAAACAAGGAAACCGCGTCCCACTGCCAGGCGGGAGCCCGTGCAACGCGGGGAGAGGGGCAGCCCGACGGACCTACAGGCGCACTGGACTCGCCGCCTGATGGACGGAGCAGCAGGGCTGGTCAGTCTGCAACGATCAACACCCTTTCCAAAACGCACCCCCAGGCCTGCCTGCCATTGCCCAGCGCTCGTCTGGCCGATGCTGTACGCCAGTGGTCCCTAACCTTTTGGGGCTGCCGGGAGGCCGGGGCCAGCACCATGCGCCACACACCCAGGGCCAGCACCACGCATGTGCCATGCGCCGGGGCCAGCCCAGATGTTTCGGCAGGCGCAGATAAATGCCCCAGCAGGCGCCATGGCACCCGCGGGCACTGAACTGGAGACCACTGCCATATGCAGATGACAATCTCGCGCATGCTCCTGCACTAAACAGTCCTGCAGGCCTAGACGGAGGCAAATCCATTTAAGCCATGAAGGAGGAAATCAGAATTTAAATCAGGGGTGGGCAAGGATGCAGTTTGACAGGTTAATCCCGAGCCGGCACAAACAAATCACGTTCTCTCTCTCTCTCTCTCTCTCTCTCTCTCTCGTTTTCCCCTGGAAGCGTCGAAGTAACAATAAGAACATTCTACAGCCGGGCCCACGTCACCACGGTATTGGAATGACCTGGGAGCTGTAGCCAGGGGGCGGGGGGACCCCTTTATGTGACCCCCTGCCTTATGACGGTCTCCAATGCCACAATCCCGTACCACGATTTTCGGACCAGACTGCCTGCCTGGCTCAGTGCATAACCCAGACTCCT